TATTATCCTTAAATGCCTATACATCTTGGGTTTATAAATAAAGTTTCAGTTACCTGCAATTTACAACCAAATCACACAGGGCTAAGGGAGCAATGGGATTTGCTCAGCTGAAACGTGCTGCCTGAAAGTTTGGGTTCAGTCCCTAGACCCACTGAGAAGGCAGGTGGGCTCGTGTGTGCTTCTAACCTCAGCACTGAGGAGGCAGAGACAGGCAGATCCTTGGAACTTTCGGGTGAGACAGCATAACCACATCAGTGAGTTTACGGTCCTAACAGCAGACATAGTCTCAAAAAACCAACATGAATTGCAATCCTGGGGGACTACAGTGTAGGCTGACCTACGGCCTCTACATACATGTACACAACAGATACATATCCACACATAAAACATAAAGTGAGGATAAAAGGGGAATTCAGCCATCTCCTCATTAGCCTTTTTACATGGGAGTCAATGAGAAATAGGAAACAGAGAGATAGGCAGGAGGGTTAAGTAGATCTCTTCACTCATGTCCCATTATGGCTCTTTGTAGGCATTGCTCCATGTCAATCAAAGCAAAGGAAGATGCTAAAATTTTGAAACTAGGCAAAAAAAAAAAAAAAAAAAAAGAGGCACAGCTTTGCATGGGTTCTAATAAAAAAAACTGTAAAGAAAAAATGATCTTCTAAAATTCCCTATGGAAGCTGGCCAGGCCAGGCCAAGTCTCGGTCGGAAGCAGGCTCCCTGACTATTTTGGGATTTCTAAGGGAAAAGCCACAGAATGGAGCACAGCTGGACAGCAGGAAGCCAAGGGTTCCATCAGCAAAGACCTCCTCTTGACTTGTTTTGCAGGAGAAACAAAAGTGGGAAGAACCTTTACTCTCCCTCGGGGACACGTTGAATATTCAAAATATTAATTTTGGAATCCCAGTGCCTACATGTTGGAAACACACTGACGTGGAGCTGTGGTTGATTGGATTGGCAAAGAGCTACTCTGAACCTTCTGAGAATGTCATTCCAAGCCTCAGAGCCCCACACAAACTCAAAAGCATATAACAACCAACCCAGAAAACTAGCCAGATGGACTGCAACCCCAGATACCCTAAACAAATCATAAACAAGCACTTGAGACCACCACAGGACTTTCGATTTCAAAGGGGATCTGAGTTTTATTTGACTGCCTACCAATCCTCTGCTGCAAGCAGAGGCCTCACATTCTCATTCTTGCAGACTCCAGAATAGCAAGACAATCCCGGAGACTTGCCTGCCTTAGTTACCCACTGCTGGGGTTGCCCAGGAAGCCATCTCTCTAACCCCTGAGCCCTGTGTGCTAATCCAGTCTGCTAATCTGTTCTTTTGATGTGTGTTCCGAGTTGTTGAAAGGTCTGCATTAATCCTTCTTGTCTTGTTTTTTTTTTTTTTTTTAATAGTGCTTGCTAGTCCCCTATTCCTCATTTGCCTGGCTATTCCTTTAGTGTGGATGATTCTTTCCAGTGGCCTTACAAACATTTCTCTTGAGTTTGAAGAATGCCTTCAAGTATCTTTTCTCATTGACATTTTTCATCATTTCCCTTTACAGAATTCGACTGGCATACCCTGTACTGACTTTCAAATGAGAATTAGCTGCAATCATTTTAGGAAGTGGAAGTACAGATGTTGGTTGGACTGTGGGCACTAAGACGTTAGATCATGAATGAATGGAAAGGATAAATGTAGAGGGAGAGTGGTCATAGCATCCTGATCACAGCAGAAGAAATGGAGGTGGTGAAAGCCAGTAGAGGGGTAGCAATAAGGACAGAGGGGCAAGGAAGAAGATCTCAATAAAGGTAGAATGAAAAAGGCGCAGTGAAGAAATGCATTAGAAAACCTACAATAACCCCAGCTCGCAGAAGGCTAAGATACGGAGGCTGCCCCTCCCAATCAAGCCAGCCTATATTTCTTTAGAAAGACTATTAAAAGATAAAAATTTAACAGTGAAGAGTAGAGAGGGAAAAGGGTGTGAAGAAAATGAAAAAAAAAAACAATAAAATAAACAGAAAGAGTGAGGACACAGCAGGAAAGAGCAGGCCAGCTAGGTTGACAACATGCATTTTATGATGGAGAAATAAGTGCAAACTGGGGATAGCACACGGGGGGTGCAATCTGATGAGGTCATCTGTCTGCTTGCTCATTCCAGTTTTGACTCTCTGTGTCCTTCCCAGGCTCCTAGATGCCAGTCACACCCTTGGGTGGTCCTTCACAAGGCTTGGTCACAGATGTTGTCTCAGCAGTGGGAGGCTCTTCTGGGTCAGGTTGCCAGTGCTGGTTGGGAGTCTGGGCAGTTCCTCCAGAGTCTGGCCGTCAATGCTGGTGTCACTGCTTGTTCCCCATCTCCAGCATGTGTCAGGAACCCGTGTCTTTCCCTGCATACTCGAGCTTCAACCGGGGTTCCATATTGCCAAATACTGTGCAGTTGTGATTCAAAGTTTCTTCCTCACAGTCTAGATATTCTGCTGGCCTGTATCATCATATAATCCCATGGTACTTACTTTGAGGTTTCCCAATCTGTGGTTCCTGGAGAGTCTAGGGTGGCCAACCACAGAAAAAAAAAAAAAAGCCAGTTTTCCCCGTACTCCCCTTCCTCTGCCAATGCTCCGTGCGACTTTTCTCTCATTGTTCTCCCTTCTGACCCCTAAAACATCTGTCACTGAGGGTAAAGGGCAACTTTTCTGAGGTTGTCTTAAGTCACAGTGAGAGTTGCTCCCTCTCATTGGAGGGAGGAGTGCCCCAGACCTACCTTCTGAGATGGGCTCTTGAACTTTTTCTTCTATTTTCTGAAGTTGTCTGTTTTGAAATACAACATTTTTGTATTTGAAACACAAATTTGAAAAACAAATTTTTGAAGTTGCCTGTTATTGAAAATAGAGATTTGGGCAGTCACCCATCCTCTTCTGAACACTCTTTCCCAACCATTCCTGTTTTGTTCCCTGGGATGTCTAGTCAGATGTTCCTTTCTATCACTTAGCATCTTCCAATCTCCAATGCTTCCTCAAGCACATTTCTTTGGAACGAGATACAAATTGCTATCAAGGATTAATCTCTGATTATGCATTTGCATTTGTCTTAAAGGACCAAATAGACTCAGTCAAAGAAATGAAGCTCTAATTGTAGGCAACAGTAAGCAAAGTCAGGAGTTCAAACTATAGCCAAGGAGAACAGACAAAGCAAACAAACCCAACGGAATTGTGGGAAGAATGAAAAGCAACGGTATATATCCAAGAAGACATGGCTGCTCTTTGAAGAAAATGAAAATTACGTTTCAAAACAGGAAGTAGCAGGAGAAGGGCTGTTCTGTTTTCAGGTTTTTCATGGACACTTATGTCTCCTCATCTGGACACAGCACTCTCTAAGGAGGGATTGGCTGAAGTTCAGCAGCTGGGGAGTCCAGTTTTGTGTGTCCAAAACTAGAATCCATGTGCTTGCTTTCTATTCTAAGATGCCTGCTTGCATTTATTTAATTTTTAAGATTACTGTTGTTTTGGGGCTGGAGAGATGGCTCAGTGGTTAAGAGCATTGCCTGCTCTTCCAAAGGTCCTGAGTTCAATTCCCAGCAACCACATGGTGGCTCACAACCATCTGTAATGGGGTCTGGTGCCCTCTTCTGGCCTGCAGGCACACATGCCAGATAGAATATTGTATATATAATAAATAAATTTAAAAAAAAGATTACTGTTGTTTTTAATGTTTATTTCATTTTGAAATAATTTTAGTCTCACAAAAGTCTGCAAAAAGTAACAAAGTATTTCAGTGTTCCCTTTGTTTAGAGGTTCATGTGCTACTGTTATAAAACCACTAAGCAACTATGGAACTCCTAAAAGAACATGGATACTGTACTATCAACTAATCTGAGACTCACTTAATGCAAATCTCATGACTTGTCTCAGGAATGGTGAATTTTTGCTCCAGAGCCCAATGTCTTGTCATGTTTTTGAAGGTCATCTAGTCTGGAACTGTTTCTCAGTCTGGTCTTCAGGCCCTTAAACCATTAGAGCATCCCTTGCTTTTGTGTGCCCGAGACTATCTTTTAATTAATTTGAGGGACTCAGGTTGTTCAAGGATTTCTCAGGAACAACTGAGTCTCTTCTCAGCTCATAGCAGGAGAGGCCATTTGTTAATACCAGTGGTGCAGTTAAGATGGTGACTCCAAGATCCTAAAACCCCAAGTAAATATTTTCCTCTTGTTGTAATTCGCAAAGTTTTATACCTATGGTTCTTTTTGTAACAATAATTACTGTGACATTTGACAAACGATTTTCTGTATCCTTGATGCCTTTGTCATTCTCTCTCCCTTTTGCTCACTGTTTTTCTTCTCTCCCCTCCCTTTTCTCCCTTCTCTTCCTTCATCTATTCCTTCTTCTCCCCTTTCATTCTCTCTCTCTCTCTCTCTCTCTCTCTCTCTCTCTCTCTCTCTCTCACACACACACACACACACACACACACACACATGCCACCCTGCAACCAGAGGGTCCCCACAGCTGTGTCCATGGCTTGAGAAGCCTCCATGTTGTTGCCTTCCCAGTCCTCTTCTCTCATTGCCTGGAGTCATTTCCCTAAACAACTTGAGCATGGTACCTTGTCTCAGTTTCTGTCTCCTAAAGGCAAAATTTACTATGGAAAATGTCATAATTCTGCAATTTTAGCTTATCCCCTGCCTCAGGCTCCTGCATTTCTCTCCTTTGCAAATATTTTCCTGTTTGCAACTTTCCGCCATTTTATCCCCTGAAGATTCCTTATGTCCTTTGTTGGCTTTCCAAGGAGGTGTCAGTCAAATAGGCTTGATGTCTCCATGAGGATTTCATGGTTTTCCTTCCTTTGTGTTCCAGAACTCTACCTCCTTACACCTACGCATAGATTATCTCCACTTTGCTGCCCCATTTCTCCCAATTTCTTCACGTTTAAAAATGGCATAGGGTATGCTCCCCACGTGACTTTTGTTTCTGCCATTTTGTTTTGTGCATTCTTACTAACAGTTGCTTCCCTTTCAGGTGGCCCCTGCCCTGGCTTGATTCTGTGTACTGGTCAGCAGTACCAAATAAGGAGGAAGGTGGAGAGAGCAAAGGACGAAGTCTATGTCTTGGAGTCCACAGTATGTCTTCTCTTGGACGGCATCTCAGCAGCACTGATTTCAGTGTTCAGATGGACCGTATATATGAGCCCCAATAAAACTGCGCACATTGCTGTGTGTGGTGTACCTCTAATTTCAAATTCTCCTCATATTCACTTAAGAAAAACTCTCTGATGCTTGCCTGGCAGGGGAGATACCCGGGTACCCTGGGCACACTGACTCTTGTAATTGCTCCAGATATGGGAAACTCAATGGCATAATTTGTGGTGATGAGGATCAGGACTTGATTTTTTTTTTCCTCTAAATAAATTAATTAAATAAAAAGAAAAGAAAGCAAGTCCGGAATCTGGATTGTAAACAGGAACTACTTCTCTTGTTTATTTTTTTATTGTTGTTGCTTTGTTTTATTTGTTTGTTTGTTTGTGTGCCCCCCAAATGTCAATTCTCAAATTTCCAAGGCTAGGACTAACCCCCAGAGCTCCTTGTACCAATCAGAGGCCATGTAGGGCTTTACTTTGCCAAAATGATCCCTAACCGTCGATAGCCGCAATGCCTGTGAACTTGTTAGAAGCACTGATTGGCGTGTCACAGCTGCAGGCAAAATCTGGTAGAAGTCTGCAGCCTGAACCTTAGGAGGACCTCTGATGATGCTGCAAGTCCTGGAGTGTGACAAAGCCGTTTTATAAGACTCTCTCTTCTCTTCTAAACTAGGGCCAAAGCTTGTCTGAATTCTCGGGTTTCTGATTGATTTTAGTCCAAATATTACAGCATATGGGATCTAGGCTGGTACTTTAGGGTGACAGTTCTTTGAGGAAGATGGACAGTTTTTTCTTTCTTAGCTATCTGGAAAAAGAATGGTCCTGGACCTGAGGCTAGAGGCCCAGCTCAGCCCCAGATCTGCATCTCATTAGTTGTTGACCCCAGACGAGCCACTTAACCTCTCCAGGCTCCTCTGGGCCATGTAAATGCCACATCATCGAACAACAAGGGTACTCTCTGTGTTTCCTCATTAGCCGAAGTTTAAGTGACTTAAGTGAAAAGGTTTCTGTTTTCCCTCCTGTGAGATGTCACCGATGGGAAGTGCTCTGTCATAGCTTTGAAGCTTCAACTATTGCTAGTCTTAATTTAAGTAAATCCATTCATGTCGAGAGACAGTGACAATTTCCCCCATGTCATGGTAATTTGGTTAAATTTCAAGTCTTCGCCATAGCTTCAGCGCACATGGGAAGCCTGCTTTCTGTTGGTTCTGAGCCCTGCTTAGACAGAGAATACCAAGTGCAGGGGGAGAGTGTCCAAGCCTTGATGCACAGGGCAAGATGGAGTCTAACTCATGCTGAAATCGGCATGCTCTTTCTGATTCTTCTGTGGCTCACCCCGTTTTTAGTTGAGATTATTGTAATTCTTTCTCCTTGACCAAATAGTTACTGTTGGAATTTTTCTCTGTTCTATGTACAGTTTGTGACAACCATAGCAAAAAAAATGCATGAACGGATGATCCTCCCCACATCAGAGAACTTTTGCTCCAACATCCAAATGGGTTCATGCATTTCTTCATTTATCTGATCATTGAAATTGAAAGAGTCTGCTGGCCAAACTGTGACTAGTTCCTAAGAGTCTGTGATCAGACCTAAAAACAGAGAGCAAGCATTTGAGGCTTGGAGGGCAATTTGACATTGGCATGCTATCCATCCTTGTATAAATAGACCGGCCTCGTGGGACAAAACAGAGACCACTGTGGGTGTGATTAAACTCAAGTGACTTCATGTGGCCTGAGTTGACAGTCTCACCCTGGGAAGAATGGATATATAATTAGGGAGGTGCAACAGACCTCCCAAATGTGGATCCCTTGCTCAAAATTATTTAGAATCCCAAGATGGTAGCAGAAATATATTATACCAATGCACTAACCAAGAACTTCCATTAAGTATGTGGCCTTGTGTAAACACACAGGCTAGACACTCATGATACTGGGCCTGCATACATTCTAGGATCATGCTATAACATGTGGCATTTTGAGTTTAGCAATATACGGTCTACATGTATATAATCATCTTTTAAAATGAAGCATATTTTTTTGTTTCTGTTTTTATCCCCAAGTTAAGCTTTAATGAAGCCTTGGTTACAGTTCGGGTTCAACACCATTAGTGATGATGGAAAAGCGCAGACCGCTAAGGTTTCACTTGGCTTTACAATGTGGCTTCTCTTCTGAATGTGGCAGTAGCTGCGAAATAAATGGTGACAGTGGAAGATGCGCTAAACCTTGAAGGCCCAGTGAGTTAATATTCTTTTGACTCATAAATGGACTGGAATTTTTCCTGTGGCCATAGCTGGGGTTGAGGTGTAGCATTACAGAGACTCCTCGGCTGATAGCAGGGTAAACCTGCTAGGAAGTCAGCACCATTAGACGTCAGATGCTAGGCTGAAGATTAGGTATTTTATTAAGTCAAAAAAGATTTTGAAGAAGGTTCATTAAATGGGCATGGGTTCAAATACCATCCCTATACTATTTCAGCGTCTAGGTATATGCTCAAATAGTATTCTTATTTGTAAACACATATGTCTAAGTACTGGGGCTCTGTCTCTTATAAAGTGACATTTCTTGCTGCCGAAAGAAACAGAAACAAAATGTACACACAGGCTTAACTGTTTAAATACTTGTCACCGAATTCACATCTACATCAACACACTTCGATGTTAACACATTAACAGTGGTTCTTCACCTTCCTAATGCTGCGACCCTTTAATACAGATCATGGTGTGGTGCCCCCAACCATGAAATTATTTTGTTGCTGCTTCATAACTGTAATTTTGCTACTGTTATGCATCATAATGTAAATATCTGATATCTAAGATATCTGATACGTGTCCCCAAAGGGGTCTCACATCATAGATTGAGAACCACATGAACAGTTAGTATAGCCACTAAATTAGCATCAGAATATATTAAAGATGACTACTTGGGACTTTGGAATGAATCTATAACTAAGAAGGGAAGTTACTATACACTTTCAGTGATATCATAGGTCAACATGTTTAGGAAATGACCACTAACAAATACACACACACACACACACACACACACACACACACACTAGCAAATGCAGAAGGTGTGGCAAATGCATGGGTACTTCTGCTTGGAAATCAAATATAAGTGACTTGGTTTCTCTGAAGGAAAGATTTTGCTTTGGGGCTCATTTCTGACAGCCTTAGCCAAGTCCCAACTATGTAAACACACCAGGAGTCACCGTGTCCAAAGTGTGCTTGTCATTAGGTTTTACAGTGGAGGATGTGGAGTTTACATCAACGTTAACGAGCACAATTGGTCCATTGAAGAGAAACTTGCTGTGAGAAAAGGATTGGCTGAATTAAAGGATGATTAGCAACAATACGAAAGTAATGGCGTGCCTAAAACTAAAGGTAAGATTTGAGACTCTTCTCTTCTGCACTGTTAATTTTTTACCACTGTGACAAATTCCTGAAAGAGCTGCAGGGAAGGGCTTATTGGGGCTCAGGTTTCTAGTCAGTGTCTTGATGGTAACAAGGTGCCAAGTGTGAAAGAGAAGCTGACCAAAGAATTCTTCAGCATGTAGGCTCATTCAATTTTGTAGGTGAACGTGTGTGTGTGTGTGTGTGTTACAGGGTCTCACTATGTAACTTAAGCTTCTTGGAACTCATGATTCTACTGTCTCAGCTCCCCGTGGGCCATGATTCTAGCTGTGTGCTGCCATGTTTAGCTCTTCTGTGACTCTACAGCGCCATGATTCGAGGTGTGTACCACCATGCTCAGCTCCCTGTGTGCCATGATTCTAGCTGTGTGCCACCATGTTCAGCTCTTCTGTGACTCTACAGTGTTAGAGGCTATCTTAATTTATCTTGTCTCACCAAACTGAAGAGGGAAAAAGACAAAGGCCTACACATATTTTGGAATGATTATGATCTTGATTCTGAGACACTATAGCCGTTTCCACTTAGGAATATAGACGTATAATCCTAGCAAATCAAATTCAACAGTATATATATATACATATATACACATATAAATATACACATATAAATATACACATATATACATATATACATATATGTGTATATGTACACAATGACTAATGTATATATACATATAATTATATATAATTGTAATAATATATACTAGCCATTGTGTGTTTATTTAAGTGAGTTTGTCACATATAAACAGCATATTGTTGGGTCTTTTTTTTTACTTTTTTTTTTATTGAGAAAAGGAAAAAAAAAGTTTCTGCCTCCTCCCAGCCTCCCATTTCCCTCCCCCTCCTCCCACCCTGCTCCCCCTCCTCCCACTCCTCTCCCCCTCCCTCTCCAGTCCAAAGAGCAGTCAGGGTTCCCTGCCCTGTGGAAAGTCCAAGGTCCTTCCCCCTCCGTCCATGCCTAGGAAGGTGAACATCCAAACTGGCTAGGCTCCCACAAAGCCAGAACATGAAGTAGGATCAAAACCCTGTGCCATTGTCCTTGGCTTCTCATCAGCCCTCATTGTTCGCCATGTTCAGAGAGTCCGGTTTTATCCCATGCTTTTTCAGTCACAGTCCAGCTGGCCTTGGTGAGCTCCCAATAGATCAGCCCCACTGTCTCAGTGGGTGGGTGCACCCCTCGTGGTCCTAACTTCCTTGCTCATGTTCTCCCTCCTTCTGCTCTTCATTGGGACCTTGGAAGCTCAGTACGATGCTCCAGTGTGGGTCTCTCTGCCTCTATCTCCATCCATCACCAGATGAAGGTTCTATGGTGATATGCAAGATATTTGTCAGTATTGTTATAGGATAGGGTCATTTCAGGTTCCCTGTCCTCAGCTGCCCAAGGAACAAACTGGGGACATCGCCTTGGGCTCCTGGGAGCCACTCTAGGTTCAAGTCTCTTGCCAACCCTAAGGTGGCTCCCTTAACTAAGAATGTTGGGTCTTTTTATATTGGTTCAGTCTATCTATTTTTAGTTATTCATTTGTTTATTTTTAAAACAATCCTTTCTCATTTTATATACCAATTCCAGTTCCCTCATCCTCCACTCCTCCCACTCCCCCCATTTTCCACCCACCCCATCCCCTCTGCACTCCTCAGAGGGGGTAAGGCTTCCCATGGGGAGTCAATAGAGTCTGAAACATCACTTTGAGGCAGGACCAAGCCCTGCCCCACATCTATGCTGAACAAGGTATCGCTCTAATGAGAACGGTCTCCAAAAAGCCAGTTCAAGCACCAAGGATAAATCCTGGTCTGACTGCCAGTGGCCCCACAGACATCCCCAGCCATACAAACTGTTACCCACATTCAGAGGGCCTAGTTTGGGCCTATGCAGGTTCCCTGCTACCAGTCCACAGTCAGTGAGCTCCCGCTAGCTCAGGTCAGTTTCAACAGTATATTTTTAGAATATTAGTAAGGAATTTCCTTATAGTAAAAGGCTGGCTCTTCATCAGGAAAATCTATTAATAAATTGTATAATGCCTTTGGCTTTCTCAAGGCAGAAAACAGTTTGATGCCTAATGATGATTTTTTTTTCAGATTAGCAAATTAGAACTACAGAACTTTTGTCTTGATAATAATCAATTACCTAAGTTACCAAAAAAAATACCTTCATTATTTTACACATGAAACAACACGAGCCTGCTTACTTTGGAACTTTATATTGGGATATAGGACTGGTACCATACACTAGATATGCCTCCTATGTACGTAGATATATTTATGTGTGTGTGTCTACATGTGTATAAGGTGTTCTTACATGGAGAGAGAGAGAGAGAGAGAGAGAGAGAGAGAGAGAGAGAGAGAGTTTAAGAAATTGGCTCACATATTTATGGAGGTAACCAAGTTCTAAGATCTGCTATCATCAAGCCAGTCTTCCAAGGGTGACCCGGGAGAGCTAATGGCTAATGGTACAGTCATAGACGAACAATGTCAGATGGGCAGCCAGCTTGAGTCTCAGGAACTGCTCGTGCTTCAGTTCCAGTATAAAAGCAGTGTGTGTAGAGGGGGCGGAGCCTAGGTATTAGTTCAGACCCTTAGGGTGACCCTTGTCTCCAGGAGGTATCCAGACTTTGAACTGATTAAAGGAGGCCACCTTTACTGGATAAAGCAATCTATTTGATTGAGTCTACGGAAACACATGCAAATTTACCCAGAGCTACCATCACAGACACATGAAATAATGATTGATTAAGTCTCTGAGCATCCTGTAAGTCAGCCAAATGACATAAACATTAACTGTTACAGAGAGCAGTGTAGAAGTATGTATGTACATGGGAAATTGGGCACCATGGTAGCCATCCAGGTGGTGGCATCTGCAAGAATAAACAGGTCTAACATCTTCTCCGTTATCCTGTGACAAGGTGTGGTGATGGTGCCCACAGGCTCGGCAGTGGCGTTTCGTTAAAATCACCGAACAGTGTGGTAGGGCATGAGTTTTGGCATGGCTACTGTATTCCTGGTTTGGCTTTTTATCACCTCTGGGGATTCAGTTCCTTTAATAATCACAGGAGTAGATTTGTGTGTCTCTGCTAATTACCCCAAATGATGTCTCCTGTAGCTCATCATTGTTCTGTGCCTCATAAATTTATATGAATGCCAGGTACTGAACCAAGTGATAGAGAACAGAGGTGACAATCTTTCTGTCCCCAGGAACAGTTGAGCAGAATCTCTTGCACAGGAAATCAGATAAGGTCGGAATCTCAGTAATCAGCAGTCTCATAGCTCAAAACCATGGGTCTGGAAAGGTAGGGCAGGAACATGAAGTCATGCATCCTTACGATCATCTTTGAATGACTACACTGTCCTGAGTCCCTTTACTTGACTGCTTCTTATGTAGATGGAAGAAAAAATAATCTCGTTTAAAGAGGGAAAAAAAGCCTTTTACACCCCCCCCCCCCCCGCACACACACAGCAGTGGTTCTCAATCGGGAACTGTTTCCCCACAGGCACATTAAACATTTTGAGAATTTTTATTTTATTTTATTTCATTTTATTTATTTATTTTTTTGCCTAAGTGGAGGTGTAGAAGCCGGAGCTATCGCTAAACATAGCATAGTACACAGGATTGTGCCACAGCAAAGAACTGTCTTGTTCAGATGACCGAAGAGCTGAAGCTGAGAAACCCAGCTTCCAGATTCTCAGTAACAATACCGTCTATCGCACAGGTCAGTACTATTGCTGTTTTCACTCTGCAATCAAGGAAACCGGTACATTTAGATAAAAGAATGCCACTTAACTGCATAGGACCCATTGCCTTTATCTCCTCATTCTTCCTCCTTCCCGAGGCATCCCACCGAACCCCATTTGTACTGAGTTAACCAGGCCTAGGCCTCTCCTCTTCTCCTGCACAAAGTGACTGATCCCATAGGAGCCATGTCAGCAACTCTAAAAGGATCTTCCCGATTCTTTCTCCACAGACTTCATTAACTATGGCTCCAGGATGGAGATGTGAGATTGAACTCAATCCAGGATGTATTTACGTTCCAGAACTGAGATATTTTCATCCATGCAAGAAATTTCTTGTTGTTACAGACAGAGGAGAGGCAAAAATATCATATGAGTACACGCCATTTCTTAGCCAAGCAAAACCTTCAGGGCATCTGAAGTTCACATGTCAAGCTGTGCACCCTGTCTCCCCCCCCCGCCCCCCCGCAAGGCAGGAGGCTATTTTTCATGTTAAATGTGTAATTTAGGATTTACACCTGAAAACATGACCAATAGGTTTCTTTTCTACAAGCCAACAGTACTTTCAAAGACAACATATTTCATATTCTCCAGAGGAAGATGGGAGGCAGAAAACGCATGAGTTAGAGTTCGGGTGGGAAATGGGGTGTGAACAGGTGATGCACAATGGGCTTTCATTTCAAAGCTGCGTGTGTTTCAGAAGAGACAGTGACCCAAGAGCCATCTTCCAAGGTCTTAAATATGTTCAAGGCAAAGGCATGCGTGGGCCGGCATCCCCCAGAGCTGGATGCAACTTTGTGTAATCCATTTTACATGTTGGTATTTATTGTGTGCTTCATTCAATAATAAACTTAAAGGAAACCAACTCACCCATGTTATTATCTTACACAGGGATGTTGATCCTCACGCGTGGTAGCCAGTGTTCATTCAGGATGTGTCCCTTTACAGGAAGCAGAGACATTGCAGCTCTTCGGAATATGAGTATTTGTATATGCTCATATCATTGGAAACCCTAAGTTAAGACAGCTTTGAGGTAATGACACAGCACTCAGGGATGTCACTGAGAACCAAGATCATCTGTCCTCAGCATAGTGACATTCTTTTTGGACCCTAGATGGGTACAGTAGCTTTAGGGACAGAATGCTGGTGAGAACATTTTGGGACCAAAATGACACAATTCTTATTGTATCCCTTTATAAAACAAGATGCCCCAGGGAAGATTCCTCCCAAATATTTTTGGTCAAATTGCATTATGTGGCCATCTTAAAATAAGCTCATAGAAATAGAAAGAGGGCTGTAGCGTCTGCTAACACTGATGGCGTTCTCTTGGGGGACAAGGAGTCGAGCCTCCTCTAAAATAAAAGGTCAACAATGACCTGAAAAAGAAAGACTGGCTGTTAGGCAGGGAATCCATGAGATTATTTGGATTTTGTGACAGCCTTAAGGTGTGCCTGAGAGTTTGCTGTGCACACAGGAAACTGGGGAACAGCCCACACCGCCAGGGAGAGAGTTGACAGTCTCAGGATCATATATATGTGGTTTGTTGCAAAGAGATGGCAGGAGCAATGAGTCCACAGCACAGTGCAAAACACAGGAGGAAGAAAACTGTAGCATCACAAAGTGAGATCCCAGCCCCATCCCTGCTCCTCACCAGCAACACAGCCTTGGTCATATATACATTTCCTTAACCTCAGTTAGTCCATACTGCTAACCTCAGTTAGTCTGTACTGCTAATGAATGTCGCTTCCTGGTAGGGTTATGGTGTGGGAGAATTGTCTGTATTCTGTTAATCTTGTTTTAAATAAACGCTGATTGGCCAGGCAGGAAGTATAGGCGGGTCAACCAGACAGGAAGTAGAGGCAGGGCGATGAGAACAGGAGAATTCTGGGAAGAAGGAAGCCCATTCCCCCTAGTCCTGCCTAGACCACCAAAGAAGCAGGATGTGACCTGCCTCATTTAAAAAAGTACTGAGTTATGTGGCTAACATAAATAAAGATAATGGGTTAATATAAGTTATAAGAGCTAATAAGAGGCCTAAGCTAATGGACCAATCAGTTTATAATCTTATGGAGACCTCTGTGTGATTTTCTTTGGGACTTGCCAGCTGTGGGAACTGGGCAGGACAGAAACCTCAACAAGCCGGCCCTAATGTTACAGGGTTCGAAGGGTCAAATGAGATAATCTGTCTACTCACATTGCATAAAGAACAACAGCCCAGAAGGAGGATAGAGGGGAAAAATAGCAATGACAGCATAGTGTTAAAATATAGGTGAGGATGTGGAGCTATGGATGGACAGGGGAGAACCTTCTTAGAACTCGTGGTGAGTTCAGACAGGAGTCCTAGAGAAAGCAGCACCTGGAGTTGTGGATATATCTCAGTGACAGTGTTTGAAGCCCTGGGTTCCAGCCTTGGCATTGAAAACAAATAATCCAACAACCAAGCAATGGTTAGATTTGAGAAGAAAGAGTCACAGGGTAGATGGGCCATAGGGGAAAGGAGGAAGAAGAAGGAGGGGGAGAGAATGGAGAGAAGAAAGAGGAGACAGGGTAAGGGGGAGACAGAGAGGGGAAGAGAGGGAGACAGAGAGACACAGAAAGACAGAGATAAAGAGAGAGACAGAGAGAAAAACGGAGACAGAGATATCCGGAATAAGTGCATCTCAGAAAGGAGTACTTGTGTTGTGTGAAGGACTCTGCAGAGATAAGACAGTGAAGTAACCACGGGTTAGAGTCCAACCTTCAGACAGCAATAGGAAATTAATTCACATTAGGAAGTTCAAGACCAACCCTGAATATCACCTCGACTCAGCCACCAGAGGGCATCAACCGTTCTTTTTCTTTGGAAACCTGACTCTGAGTCAGAAGCCCCAGGTCCCACACTATCCTCTCATTGTCTATCTTAGTTAAAGGTCTGATTTCTAGCCCCATTCATGGCTGCACCATAGGAAGCCCACATTTCCCGTCTTCTCAGATATATGACAGTGTGAGCAAACACACTGAGGCAGATTTGGGAGGAGCTTACTTCGCTTGTGGAAGCCACCTTCCTTTCTCTGTCCTTTTCCCCATCCTGCTAACCGAATAATATAGTTGAAATTGCCAAGGCCAAAGCAAGTGTTTGTGATCACATAGAAAAAGTCTGATGCTAGAGATAGCACAGCAACCAAAATGGAAGAAACCTGGTCTTTGCCAAGGTACCCCAGCGCTCTGGACCACTTAACGGCAGGACTCTTTCACAAGAAAGAGAAGCTCCTAAATTGTTTATTTTTATCTTTTCTTCCACCTCATCAGATCTTAACAAACACAAGGTGCAAGGCACTAAGTGGATCAGATGGTGACAACACTAGACACCCCAGTCAGGAAAAAAAAATGACGTAAGTGAAAGAAGGTAACTGGGAGCGAGGGGATTGCTGCCCTGGGAAAGGGGTTCAGAGAAGACGGCGGGGTGGGGGACTGGGACTATTAGGATTGCTTCCCAAGAGCACAGGTGGCGTACAGTCCACACCAAGAAAACGTCAGAGTGTTCTAGAAAAATTTGCTGTTTCCAAAAGAAAAGGAAAGGATGATGCTTCGTTTTCTGAAAGTCATCGTCTGGATAAAACCTGGGTGGACCAAGCTAGGCAGTGGTGGCGCACACCTTTAATCCCAGCACTCGGGAGGCAGAGGCAGGCAGATGTCCAGGAGTTCGAGGCCAGCCTGGTCTACAAAAGCTAGTTCCAGGACAGACTCCAAAACTATAGAGAAACCCTGCCTCAAAAAGACAAAGAAAAAACTAGAGTGGACTACAGCATGCGGCACCCTACCAGGGGACTACCAAATGTATGGGGGGAGGAAGCACAGAACGGGAGCCACGACGCTGGGCAGTGACTGGCTATGGCTCCAGGCCAGCTTTTCCAATTCAGTCAGCCCCAGGTCTTATCATTTAACATGGGTTGAGTTGTGTTTCTGTTATTTAGAGCTAAAGACTTTGGATGCACTCAGTGACTGGCAAGATGAGCTCCAGAGGACAGGCTGGGAGCGGAAGCGAGGCAGCCACAGCCTGGAAACGGGCCTGGGGATGTGGAAGTGGATGAGTACCACTCGTAGACAAAGTCCGTTAGTCAGCGAAGATAGGACCAGTAGCTGCTGAGGGTGTAGTCCTGGACTTGATCCTTGGAACTGTGTAAACTTGGTAGTCCCAGCACTCAGAAAGTGGAGGCAAGGGGGACAGAGACGAAAAGATCATCCTTAGCCACATTTCAAGTTTGAACCACCTTGGTATACATTAAAATTAAAAGAAAGGAAAAGAAAAAATTTTAAAAACACACAAAATCAATAAGCTACAAAAATAAATAAAATTTAAAATGGTAAAGCTCAGCGTGGTGACTTGCCTTTAATCTTAGTATTTATTTGAAAAGCTGAAGCAGGAGGATTGCTGCAAGTTCAAAGCTAGCTCGAGATATATAGAAGTTCTGGAGAAGTTTGGGCTACAGAATCAGACTCTGTCTCAGAAACACAAGTAAAATTAAGTAGGAACAGTAGGAAAATTTGTTTAAATGCTAGTGTGGAACAACCACTAAAAATAATAGAATAAGAGGAAATTTTTATATAGGATAAAGTTCCTGAAGGGGGAGAAAAGAGAAGATAAAGGCTGAGGCCTGGGAAAGATGCTATGATTCATCTTGGCTAGAATGAGGAAAAGCTCCCTTATCCTCAGAGGGTAGAAAGAGATTTAAATAACTCTGTGGTATGAACACAAGACATGAGGAAAGTTCCTCAGTCGTTCCAGTCTTTCTGGGAAGAAGCAAAGAGACAGGGGACAAGGATGCCAGGCAAGCATCTGGCAGATGCTCTCAGAAGCCCTAAGGAGGCATCTAGCTATTAGATGCTTGCTTAACTCACACGCACTAAGCCTGGAGTGCTCTGACTGAAATCACATCTGTTGAGCAGAATGATGCCTCCTCCAGGGTACAGGGATTTCTAGAGGCAGGTTAAAATCGAGATGGCAGACCTGGTATTACTCTGTGCCTCTGCCTAGGCAAGAGGGGCTCCCCAACCCTGGAAGACTTCTCCAGATGTGGAACTCGGAGCTGGGGTAGTCATTTTGGCTACTGCTCACTGAAGGAGTGTGAGCGCTGGCTTCAAGTCTATTTTAACAAGGCTCTGCTCTGCTCTCGGCCCTTTCGTTTGAACTTCAATAATCAAATGTTTGGAAATCGTTAAGTAGCTGCTTTGCCTTGTTTAACGCCATGGCCACAGACACTTCACAGAGCTGACACAGGATTTATGTCTCAATAACACAATAACGTTTAGTGCGCACTGTGCTTGTAGAATGATTTATGCCCAATCTGAGATTGGAGAATGATTTACACCCAGTGAGGGGCAGAGTTATGAGA